TTGATTGACTTATTGATTGTCTAATTGATTAATTGCCTTATTGTCTGATTGATTGACTTATTGATTAGTTGATTAATTGATTGATTAATTGATTGTCTGATTAATTAATTGACATTGTCTAATTGATTGACTTATTGATTGACTTATTGATTGATTGATTAATTAATTGATTGATTAATTGATTGATTAATTGATTGATTAATTGATTGATTAATTGATTGATTAATTGACTTATTGTCTAATTAATTAATTGGCTTATTGATTAGTTGATTAATTGACTTATTAATTGTCTAATTGATTAATTGACTTATTGTCTAATTGATTGACTTATTGATTAGTTGATTAATTGACTTATTAATTGATTGACTTATTGTCTAATTGATTAATTGACATTGATTAGTTAATTAATTGACTTATTGATTGATTGATTAATTGATTAATTGACTTTTTGATTAATTGATTAATTGGCTTTTTGATTAGTTGATTAATTGACTTATTGATCAAACTTCTGAAATGCCCACTTCCTTCATAAAAGGTCTCTTCATGGTTTACAATTAAATTGCTATAATAAAAATATTAAAAACCCAATACAGGTAGTCCTCAACTTACAACAGTTTGTTTAGTGACGGTTCAAATTTACAACAGCACTGAAAAAAGTAACTTACCCCCATTTTTCACACTTACAACCGTTTGACTCACATTTATGACGGTCACAGTGTCCTGGGGTCATGTGACCCCCTTTTGTGACCTTCTGACGAGCAAAATCCAGGGGGAAGCCCGATTCACTTAATAACCATGTGACTAACTTATCAACTGCAGTGATTCACTTAGCAACGGTGGCAAGAAAGGTCGTAAAAGGGTCAAAACTCACTTAACAAAGGTCTCACTTGACGACATACAGGTTGAGCTCAATTGTGGGTCGTAGGTCGAGGATTACCTGTAATTTAAGGTCGAAACATTTAAAATAAAATTTAAAACCGCCTTATAAAATGACCCCAAAAATGTAATTTTGGTGGGGGATTTGCACCAGTGGTGAAATCTTAACTCCCCCCCCCCCGCCACTGGTTCTGTGGGCGTGGCTTGGTGGGGGGGGAGTCATGTGAGTGGGTGGGCGTGGCCAACTTGTTTTCACTTCTTAAAGCATTTTTTTTCCGGGCAAATAGGCAGCAAAAAAAAGATTTAAAAAGTGGGGGGAAAGCGTCCGACAATCGCCCGGCTCACAGCTCAGCCATGCAGTCCTTGGAAGCTTTTTAATTTACTACCTGTTTGCAGAACCAACGGCAGTCTTACCAACCGGTTCGGTTGAACCGTGCTGAACCGCGAGGATTTTCCCCGATTTGCATCCTTGTGTCCCCCCCCCCCCGTGGTTGAGACAAGCAAGGGAGGGCTCACTCCAGGGGGCAATCCTGCTTTTCGTAACCTGCCCCTCCCTTTTCCTCGCCCCGTTCCCCCCCCCCCATTCCAGCTGCATGGACGGGAAACGCTTCCTGGATCTGGGGAAGGAGGAGGATTTGCACCTGGAACCTGAGCTGCTGGAAGGGGACCTGGACGGGGGTCTCCCCAGCACAGAGGACGTCATCCTCAAGACCGAGCAGGTCACCAAGAACATCCAGGAACTCCTGAGGGCCGCCCAGGAGTTCAAACACGACAGGTCAGGAAGGGGCTTCCCGGAGCCCTTTTNAAATAGAATAGAATAAGGAATAGAATAAAGTATAGAATAGAATTAGAAGAATAGAATAGCATAGCATAGAATAAGGAATAGAACAGAACAAGGAATGAAATAGACTAGGGAATAGGATAGAATTAGAATAAAGAATAGAATAGAAATTGGAATTAGAGTAGAACAGAAGAGAAATCTTTATTGGCCAAGTGTGATTGGACACACAAGGAATTCGTCTTTGGGGCAGATGCACCAAAAGGAGGCTGAGGTTACCCTATTGTCCTTATGGGAAGTCCTCGACTTACAACCACAGTTGAGCCCAACATTTCTGTCGCTAAGCGACAGCTATGTTTTGCCCCATTTTCGTGCCACGGTTGTTAAGTGAATCGCTGCAGTGGATAAGTTAGTAACCAGGTTGTTAAGTGAATTTGCGTGTCAGAAGATTGTGAAAGGGGATCGTGTAACACCCTCCCCCCCCCCCCGGAACACAGCGACCGTCATAAATACGAGTCCATTGCCGAGCGTCTCGACAATGTGATCCCTGGGGATGCTGCAATGGTCCTAAGTGTGAAAAACGGCCGTAAGTCACTTTCTCCAGTGCCGTCGTAACTTTGAACCATCCCTGAGTGAACTGGTGCAACTCGAGGACTCCCTGTAGATACCGATTGCCAAGAGCTTGAAATTTTGACCTTGGGAAGGCTGCGACTGTCGTAAGTGCGAAAAACGGTCATGAGACCCTTTTTCCGGGGGGGGGGGGACCGTTGTAGGTTCAAACGGTCACTAAGTGAACCGTCGTAAGTCGAGGACTACCTGTAGATACCTGCCACCAAGAGCTTGAATATTGGCTTGGGAGGTGCTGTAGTAAAGCAATCAATGAATCCCCCCCTTTTTTGTGGGGGAAGGAGGCCTGTTGTAACTTTGAACGATCAGTAAGTGAACCGTCGTAACTCGAGGACTGCCTGTATCCCGGGATCCTGACTCTCGGCCCGTCCTCTCGCCCGCAGAAGCCGGCCCTGGAGACGGTGCGCAGCTCCCTCCGCTTGCTGAACGCCAGCGCTTACCGTCTGCAGAGCGAGTGTCGCAAGACCGTCCCGCCGGAGCCCGGCGCCCCCGTGGACTACCAGCTCCTGACGCAGCAGGTCATCCAGTGCGCCTACGACATCGCCAAGGCCGCCAAGCAGCTGGTCACCATCACCACCCGCGAGAAGAAGCAGTGAGGGGCGGGGAGGGGCCCCCCCTTTCCTCGTTTCTGCTATGCCCCTCCTTCCCCCCGGAAGGCTCCTCCCTCTACTTGGCGCAGGATCAGAAGCGGAGGGGGGCAGAATCCTGGGCAGCCCAGAAACTGTGTGTGTAAATACCCCCCTCCCTCCTCCCCCCCCCCCCCCCCCCCCCCC